TATAATGAAATTATTTACATACATAAATATTTACATATTAGTCTGTTCATATAAAAAAAGTTCATGATTTAAAATTATTAAGACTTAGAAATTTCATTTAGTTTCTATGGAGAACAGCTGTTGATGTTAAATAAGGTGAAAGGTTAATTTAGTTTTGTCTTCCAAAAAATGTGTTAATTAAGTGTACATACTTAATTTTTGTGTAATAAAAGTGTTTTATCAAGACAAGATTGCTAAGGACAAAACACCAAACAAAAATTGAGCGGATTTCACCGCCAACAATGGTGGAATCATCTCAAACTGAGGTAAGTAACATGAACTTTAAAAACAGTGATATAAACAATGAAGACGGCTCCTGGGAACTGGTTATTGGTCGTAAAAGACCTATGATAGATTCGAGCGAGCCAAGAGCTCAAAAACGACCGACAGAATCTATCCCAACCTCGAACAGTTTTCAGGTTCTAACCAACATAACTAATTTACAAACAGAAGAAGTTAGAAGAACGCCTCAAAACGATAAAACTCCACCAATTTTTATAAACGGTGTTGAGAATTACCATGCATTAATCTCATTTCTAGAAAACGAAACGGGTCCTAATATGTTTAAAACGAAGTCTACATTGAAAGGTGTCACTGTGTACCCAGAAAATCCTGACGTTTATCGAAAATTAAATTCTAGCCTGCGAAATAAAGGTGCCGACTTCCATACTTACCAACTTCCACAGGACAAATGTCCAAGGATTGTTGTTAAACATCTTCACCATGGAACACCAGTCGATATCATTAAAGAAGAATTTAAAAAATTGGGTTACGAAGCCACCAATGTAGTTAACGTCATATCTCGATTTAAAAAACCCCTTCCTATGTTCTTTGTGGACATTACAAAAGAGACATTTAGAGAAGAAATTTTTAATGTTGAATTTCTATATTATTCACATATTAAAATTGAGGAACCGCGTCAAAAGAGAAATATTCCTCAGTGTGTTCGGTGCCAGCAATATGGGCACACTAAAACTTATTGCAACCATCGACCACGATGCGTAAAGTGTGGTGAATATCATGAAACCAGCTCATGTTTGAAAACCAGAGACACTCCCGCGAAATGCGCCAACTGTGCCGGTCAGCACCCCGCTAATTACAGAGGTTGCCAGACGCTGAAAGACCTCAGGGTTCAGCGCAATGCAAGAAATCGTCTTCAGCGTTCCACAGTAGCAGAGCCAGCGCAGGGACCTCCAGGCATGCATGAATTCCCCCCAATGCGGCAACGTCACAACCAAGGGGAACCACAGATCATCGCAGGACCTCCGCAACAACAAAATCAAACATCATCTAGTTCAGCACCCCCGAACCAGACAACATGTACAGGTACGAGGAGAGGCATTACCCAACCGATACCTCCGGTAGATAATGGCTCTTCCCAATTATTTAATATAATTAATGGATTAAATAACCTAATCCAGCCCCTTTTCATTCTTCTTCAACAACTGTCACAGGTTACACAGGTCTGGTGCCCAAATTATGGCCCACAATAATTTAACTGTAGGCTCCTTGTCAGTTCTTCTATGGAATGCCAACGGACTGAAACAGCACAGTACTGAACTCGACTTATACTTGCACGAAAAACGGATCGACGTAGCACTCATTACAGAAACACACCTGACATCTCGATCAAAAATTTACATTCAGGATTACACAATTTATAGAACTGATCACCCAGATAAAACCGCACATGGAGGAACAGCTATACTCGTTAAAAATTCACTGAAACACAATCCCGTAGATTTACCCATTACACCCGACATCCAATCGACAGGAATAACACTATACACTAAACACTACACTATAACATTTGCCTCAGTTTACTGTCCCCCTAGGTACAAGCTTACACCCACGATGTTTTCTGAGTTCTTCAAACGCCTCGGAAGATGCTTCATCGCAGGTGGAGACTATAATGCTAAGCATCAAGGCTGGGGTTCAAGGTTGTCTACTCCAAGAGGCAGAAATCTCTGGTCTGTTCTCCATGAACTTTCATTAGACACTGTAACTCCAAATTCACCAACTTATTGGCCCACCTCCAGACGCAAAACTCCTGACTTACTTGATTTCTTTATAACAAAAGGACTAAGAACCGTACCATTTGCCGTCAATACAAGCTCTGATCTTTGTTCTGATCACTCCTCAGTGCACATGGTTCTCTTCGACGCGCCTTCCGAAGCAGAAAAAAGACCTAGGCTCATAAAAGGCTGCATGGACTGGGACGCATATAGAGACCATTTGAACACCAATCTTTCTGTTCCAGGTTCAATTAAAAATCATGAGGAATTAGAAGAAGCTGTTGAAAAATTCACAAAAAGCATACAAGATGCAGCATGGGCCTCATCAACATCCAGGCCACAAAAAGCAGCGAACTTGCCCCATTATCCTATGTACATAAGGGACTTGATCAGAGCAAAGAGAAAAGCACGTAAAGTATGGCAGACTAATAGACTTCCTTCAGACAGACAAACTTTTAACAGATTGAACAACGAACTCAAAAGACATATTCAAAAATTCAAAAGCACAAACTACGACAATTTTATTAACAACCTTTCGACGGACGATGGAAGTTTATGGAGACATACAAGGAATCTTTTAAAGCATCGTGAGGTGTCAGCACCCCTACGAAGAGAGGATGGTTCTTGGGCTGTTTCGGACGAGGAAAGATCTGAACTCTTTGCTAACCACCTTTCCACTGTTTTCAAACCACATACAGACTTAATTAATACAGAACACGATATTTTTGTACATAATAACTTAGACATACCGTTACAGCTCACACTACCACCACCTCCTTTCACACCATCACAAGTTGCACAAGAAATTAGACAATTGCCCAAAAGAAAAACCCCTGGTCATGACTTGATAACTGCTGAGGCGCTCCAGCAAATGCCAAGGAAAGCTCTAGTGTTTCTTACCACAATCTTCAATTGCATTCTCAGGACCACCAAATTTCCTATACAATGGAAATACTCACACATAACCATGATTAAAAAGCCAGACAAAGACACTAACAATCCTTCTTCATATCGACCGATTAGTTTACTTCCAGTATGTTCTAAGTTATTCGAAAAACTGTTGTACCCACGACTATTACATATACTAACAGACAGACAGATTATTCCTGACCATCAATTCGGGTTTAGAAAATTACATTCAACAACACAACAATTACACAGGGTAACTGACTACATATCGACAGCACTAGAGCGAAAACTATATGCAACCGGAGTATTTCTGGATGTCGCCCAAGCGTTTGACAAAGTATGGCATCAGGGGCTTCTCTTCAAGCTTAAGACCATACTTCCACATACTTACTACTTAATTCTCCATTCCTTTCTCTCAGATAGATTTTTCTCCGTTCGACATGGTCAAGGTCTATCCTCAATTCGATCAGTTTTAGCTGGCGTACCTCAGGGATCAATCCTTGCCCCACTACTGTACATCACATATACACACGACATTCCTCAAAGTATCCACACTCTTACAGCAACCTACGCAGACGACACTGCTATCATTACCAGGCACGATAATCCTACAGAAGCATCCCTTAACTTACAACATCACTTACAGATTATACTCGATTGGTGTAAACTTTGGAAAACTCAAATAAATTATCAAAAGTCACAGCACATCACATTTACTCTAAGACCAGAAACATGCCCTCCTGTATACATAGACAATGTACCAATTCCACAAACAGACTGAGTACAATACTTAGGCCTTACGTTCGTTAGGAGAATGACATGGGGTCCACATGTGAAGAAAAAACGAATCACATTAAATCTAAGACTAAAATTGTTACATTCACTGTTAAGACGACATTCCAAATTAAAAGCAAGACAGAAACTAAGTATTTACACATATCTTTTAAAACCTCTTTGGACTTACGGACTACAAATATACGGAATTGCAAAACCAACTCACATAAAAAAACTTCAAACTTTTCAGTCTAAGATACTACGACTAATCACTCAAGCACCATGGTACGTAAACAACCACACTTTACACACTGACTTACACGTTCCGACAGTTAACGAACACATACGAACGTACTACAAACGATTTCATAACATGTTAAACGGACACTCCAACCAGCTGGTAAAAGAAATGGCCACAACTAGTATGCCCGAGAACTCCAGAAGACGACTGAAAAGGGTCTGGATGAGGGATCTGCTGAAATAATGTTATAATAAGTAAAAGCCATGGAAGGGATACCGCTGGGTATTGCTATTCCTCATGCCTATCAAGCCTTTTTATTTATTTATTTATTATTATTATTATTTTTTTTTTCTCTCATTACTAAGCCAGCACATCTGCTGATTGTCAATCATAATTGACAGGTGCGGATAGATATATGTTAGTCCAAAAAAAAAAAAAAAAAAAAAAATTATTAAAGGAAAAAATAACAAAAGATTGATTCTGAAATACAATATGTATAAATCACATTTATACTCGATACATTTTCTTATTGATTGGTACAATCTTTATGGTTATATACCAAAATTTTACAGCTATACATTTTCTTATTATAACAACGAATATGATAAATGTTTATTTAAAATATAACTTTTGTGATCGGACTGAAAATATAAAATGTAATAAAGGAAAATAAATTAAAAGGACAATAAGTAGAATAAATTTATAACAGATAGATTAAATCGATGTTGTTTTATTTTCAATATATATGTATATATATATATATATATATATATATCTGTAAAAAAAAAAAAATTGTATATTCTAGTTGTTGTCCTCTTGATTTTTCTATTCAAATAGATCTAATAAGGTATTTTAAAAGAATGAGCCTTCATATACTAAGTAATCGGGTAAGAAATAACATTTTACATTTTCAGTGATATCACTATGTGTTACCACATTGCAGATAAAATTATAGTGTAACACTTCATAATACATAACCAGTAACTTTATAATTTGTATTATAAAATGCTACTATAAATCAGTTATGAGCCTCCTTTAGATTTTTTCTTCTTCTTTTTAGGAGGTTCTTCTTCCTCCACTGGTTCATCCTGGACTGGTTCTTCTTCGACTGCTTTCGATTTCTTTTTCTTCTTTTTTGGAACCTCTTCAGTAGGTTCTTCATTTATTATCGAGTCATCCTGACCATTCAGGGTTGTTTCCAACTCACCTAAACAAAGATTGTTTCCCATTTCAATGATAGCATTACAAATATAATAATAGAACAGAAAAGTAATTATTAAAATGTCCATATTTCTTCTATTATTTAGTATGACTCCAAATATATATATATATATATATATATATATATATATATATATATATATATATATATATATATATATATATATATATATATATATATATATAAAAAAGAAAAGTAAAATGTTCTAATGATGAGACTGTGTGATAAGCTGGTTTTGAATATTTCTATTCTTACCTAACATTTTTAGTGCGATACTGTAGAGTTTAGTAACTGTACGTGAACAGAACATAAATTTATAGTATAAATAGTTTTTCAACTTAACTTGGATTAGGGATACCCAAGGGATACTGAAGTTGAGCAAAGCCTACAAACCTGACAACAGATGAGTAACTGCCCTTCCTGATACCGAATATTAACACAGGAAACTAGATAAAAGTACCTGATATAACAGCCCATATAAACCACAAGATTTGAAAAGATAAAAATTATAGCGAAAAAGAAATATTTTATATAAGTTGTTTTACATTTGGATTTCAATTGAATTTTTTTAAAGATAGATAACGGAAAAAAATAATCAAATAACAAACAAAATTTTTTTATTATATTCAAAAAAGCTCCTGGGATAAGATGCCGAGTTTTTTAAGTTCTAAACACATGTTCTAGCTAAAGGTGTAAATATACTTATTTTCTATTACATTATATCATTTGAAAATATGATTAAAATTCAAGTGTGCTAGGAAATACATGAAACTATCCATTTTGATTCAGTATTACTACAAATTTGTATTTAACTATTTTGTCTTACTAAGAGAGATAGGTAACTAGACCTACTGTGAGAGGACTAACCTAATATTATAAGAACAAGTCCATTATTATTTGAGGGAAAACTGTTCTGTAAAGTTGGGGACGTAGACACAGTAATTTGATTGGTTTTCCATTATTTTTTTCATTTTGTTAACAGTTCCCATCCAGATAACAGCAGTAAGTAATAGAAGAGCAGTTAGTTGTAAATAAAAATTAGATTATCTAAATAAATCGCCTTAGATCAAAAAGATAGCAATAGGGAAACAAAAAAAAAAAAAAAAAAAAAACAGCTAACAGGAAAAGCCTTCAGATGCTTAGAAGAGTGTTCACAAAATTGTTTATAAGTAATAATGTAAGTGAAGTATCTAGTAGTAAAAAAAATGATTGAAATATGGCTAAATATGGCTATACATACCATTCTCAATATCTTTCTTCTTCTTCTTATTTTTCTTCTTTTTCTTTTTCTTCTGAGCCTGAAAAATAATAACCAGATTTATAAATACTACTTAATTTTTTTTTTAATCTAACAAAAAAAAATATATAGTTTTATATATAGTAAAAATCTCGCATCTCCCACAAATTAAATAAATACCTCTAATTCAGCAACTTCAATTGAAGCTTGTTTCATGACATCCAAGTTCTTTGCAGGTTTTACACCAGTAAGATAATAATTAAGTCTTTCTTCTACCTGTTCCTTCAGTTTCTCACCGAACACATTGCATGGTGTTTCTAAAATAGAAAATTTCATAATGATGAGATAGGCAAATAATAAATATTTACATTAAATAAAATATTCGAGTTTAGTCATTTTAAAAATATACCTGAGAAACAGTCTATTCTGCAAGCTATTGAGCATTTATTTGCTAGAAATCTTGAAATTCGACCTTTATTTTTTTTCTCTGCCCGAGCTAAAAAGGATGAGTGGTACAACAAGCCATATTTTGGTGTAAGAGTACTTCTTGTTTTAAGAGCTCTGAAAAAAGATTTCAAAAATTATTAAATGTTATCAGAATTATAATAAAATTCCAATTTTTGAAGGCGGAGAAACTTTTTATCATTAGAGTCCACATTATGGTTAGATAACAATAATTTTTTTATATTTTACTGTTAATAATTTAATTTATTTGTAAATAAACACACACATCCATATACATATTATCAATTTACAAATTTTAGAAACCTAAAAAATTAAATATTAATTAATTCTAGCTCTAGATGGATAAAGACTGCAGGTTCCTCACTTAAGACCTATATTTTAGAAAACAAAGAACTTCAGATAAGGGCTAGCAATGCATTCACATTTTTTTTTTATGAAAGAATAAATTTAGCAAACAATATAGGAACTCTAATGGTTATATCATAAACTTATGTACTTAAAAAAAGTTTCCAAAACCACATTTCATAAATAATTTTCTAACATGTACACAAAATGGGATTCACACATACTAGGAAGATAATATAATGAACAACTATGGAAATATAAATAAATTATTTACCTGAAAAGAGCTTTTTCAGCACCAAGTACCTGCACAGTAGAGGCAGGCAACTTAGCAAGATTGGTGAGTGATCCCGCATGAGATATAAGTCGGGCACCTACTTGATCTCCAATTAAAGCCGCTACATTGGGAGCAATTGAAGACATTTTTGTATGTAAGTAGTTAGTAAGTGATAGGCGATATTCCGCAAGAGAAACCACTCGCTTTGCAAACATTTCTATGTTCATTAGATCTATAGGAGAAATATCCATCCCTAAAATAAGAAAAAAAACATCAAAAAAAGATTCAGCAATTTTACTTGGTATTAATTGGAGATGAGGAGGGATTAGGATACATTTTAAAAGAACTATAGAGGTAATGCGGAGTAGGAAATCAGGTGTTGAAAGCATCGAAAAGCCTGTAATATGATCATGATTAAGCTGATTTTAGAATGCAATACTTACCCATTGAAGATCTTGAAGCATCTAATATTGCTTCAGCTTTGTCCCTATCTTGAACAATTTCTTCAAGTTCATCTAATTTAGACTCATCCAATTCTTTACGATTACCAATGTAGTTGGCAGTTTTAGAATAAACATAATTGTCTGGGACAATTTTGAAAAGTTCTGGAAAATGATATGAGTACCATTCCCTGAAAAATTAAGATAGAATAAATAATATTAATAAATTATTCTTAAATGAGATTAAAACACATACTCATACAAACATATCATTAAAGACTCTATATTTAGCCAGGAAACAACGATAATTAATAAATATTAGTTATAAAAATATATTTATAACATCAAAGCTGCAAAAAAAAAAAAAAAAACTTATTCTCCATTAGATACTACAAGGATGCATTATGTTGTCCACAATGCAATCCAACAAAGTTGGAACAACACATAGGATCCATAGGTTTTTTCGCTAATAGCATGATTTAATAAACTAAAATTAGTACCCATAAGTATATGATATTTAAGTGCGTTCTTAATTTAATTATGGAGTGAAATAATTTCATCCAAATCTGATATCAATCAATCATAATGAAAGTGATGTAAACAAACTTAACAATAAAAATATTAACTAATACAACATTTGTTCCTATTTTGGTTTTATACAATTGAATTTAAATTAACAGAATTTAGATAAGTAAGAGTTAAAGAGAAAAAAAACAAAAGATTTTAAGATTTTTTTAAAGAAAATACAGTTATTGATTACAACATGCTTTTAATAATGGAACTCAAAACATTGGAAGCTAGTCGGGGTGCAGAGATTAAATTACATGCAAATAAAAAGTCTTAATTTAAAGTGTTCCAACATTTCAGCCCTTCATCAAGGCTTTGAAAAACTAAACAACAATCAATAAGAAATACTGAGAGTAACAATGTGACGATCAACACATTGTGGTCTGGTCTTATTTAGATCTTACCAACAATCTCTCTAACCTACTGTTATGTATTTTGTGAATAAGAAAGAGCAATAATTAACATAAGTAATCTTTATAGCATTATTTACCACCCATCCAAAAAAAAAAAGATACAACTAAGTGACCTGTGTTTTACTCAAAGTTCGCAAAAAATGTATGTGTTTCAATAACAATTTTAACAGTATAAAGAAAATTATGTACCAGGGTAACAACAAAGTAAGAACATGGTAATGTTAAAGGATAAAAATTAAAATTATTAACGTAAGTATAAACTATATAAGTGTGTGTATAAATAGTAAAATATGAATTAAAAACTATACTATGCAAGATTAGAATTAACATGGTAAAATTAAAAGTATTTTAAATGACGATATAGAGAATATGAGAGAAATGCCTGATAATAAATACAGGAAAATAATAAGATAAATCTAATATGAAAGGTACATAAAAATATGAGTAATGAATGAAATAAACAATATATATGATATAATAAAATATTAGAAATTATACAGCAAAAATAACAGAATGGTGAAATAAAAATATAAGTTTCAGAAGTAAAAAAAATAAGTAGTAAAAAAAAAGTAAAAAGGCAAGCTGGTCTGGTAAAATTCATCATAATAATCTTTTCACCCTAATAAATGATTTGAAAAGTGCAAAGAGAGAAAATTTTGTTTGTTTTTCAAGATGAAAGATATTAGTGCACTAATTATATAAATCTTTTAAAATTAGTAGTAAAAATGGTTTATTATGTAATGAGATCATAAGCCCATAGAAATTAGGAACAATGTTTTTTTTTTTTTACTTTTATAGTTATCAAAGAAACTCGAATTGACATCAAGTTAAATATTTGAATAAATAAAGAAATGTGTTCTACATAGTGTACCAACCAATTTTATGTAACTTCCATTAATTAGAATGTAAAGTATGAAAAAAAAATTACTAATATAATTTGTATGCAGGATACCTTACCTGATTCTCATAGAAAATGTATTTATGTCCTTGTCAAGTAGATCAAGAAGAGCTATACTCTGGATGATCATATTGTCAACCCTATGGACATTAAATTTAACTTTGGCCCTTGAATAACTGTGACCTAATCCCAATTGGGCAACTTCTGATGTTTTATTGGTAAAACCTTTAACTAACTTGGGGAAATGTAAACGGAGACCTGAAAAGAGGACATTTGTTTAACAATGACTTTGATTCAAATATATTTATAACATAAATGAGGAAGTAATACATTAAATTAAGTTAATTACCTCTTAATATTTCTGGTATGGCTCCTGTGCACATGCATTGATATCCCAAGGCATCAGTAATAGCAGCAGCTAATTTCGTATCTCCAACACCCAAAGTGGGATTACCTTTTTTTACTAAATTTTGTTCTAGAAACAACTGAAGGTCTTCAGATACAATTCCTGAAGGAACAAAATTATTTTAATAATATATCATTGTAACATTTTCAATTAAATTTCAGTGAAATATTTCATAAACATCACTCTACTTTCATCAACAACATAAGATCACATCATAAATGGAATCCCGAGAATGGTAGAAATGAATAAACTATCAGATAAGGATTATATCTCCACTGAAAAGGACCGATAGGGGATTTGTTCACACCTTTAGGAAAAGAGGCATATTGAGTGGAAGTCAAAAACAGCAATTTAATTTAAGTTAGTAGACATGCAGCTTTTAACTGAAAAAGACCAGTATGGAGTTTGTCAAAGTTTTAAATCGCGATCTAAATATACTGGGGGTAACTTTTTTAATTCTAGAAATCTCATTTATACCATGAACGGATCTTGGTCCACTGTAGAAGGTGGAGTGCCATTTGTACCTACTGAGGTACACATGCTAAAATAAAATTTGTACTTTAATCTGAAGGCCAATTTGCCTAGGAAATGGAACGAATCCACCCACCAAAGATAGATGTGCCATGACTAGCTCCAGCAATTCAGTAACAGTGTGATCATGTTAACTTGTCATGCTGTTGACTACAAACGTATTACTAATAAAAATAAAAATTTCCAGGTTTGATGGCTTAAAGAATCAAAATTAACAAAACAAAATTATAGATTCCATGCATAAACTGGGCATTAAGGTATTAAGGAGAGTGCAAGTATTACGGTATTTAGAAACTAAAATAAGTAAGATAAAAAGAACTGTTTTCTTTTGTTTGGATCAAAACATTAGAGGGGTTAAAAGAAAAATATATACAAGATTCATATGGATAATATGAGCACAATTGAGAAGTACTAATAAATGAGAACCATAATATCAGTATAAAAACATGCACTCATACTTAAATAGTCTTTGTAAACAAATTGGAATATTAGCCAGAGAGACATCAAAACCATTAATAATAAAAAAGTTGTACCTTCAGAAACACTGTTGATATTTTCTAATGCAGTCACAGCAGTTTTAAAAGGAGTAAAGGCGCACATTTTAATGATTTGATTAAATTTCTTCAAGTCAGTGACAGATGCTTCAACTTGAGGAAGCAGCATTCCAACTTCTTCGAATTCTTTGACAGAAAACAGACCGTAACCGGCTGCATGTTCAAAGAGAACAAAAAGATTCTCCTATAATAAAAAGAAATATAATTATCACAGAATAAAACATATCACTAATAAGAAATAAAATAGTAAATCTTACCATTATTAGAGGATCTAAATTAAACTAATCAAGATTTTTCATTAGACCACGAGAACTAAAAAAAAAACAGTGGGCACGTGTTATACACAAACAAGCAGCTCAGTGGACCAGCCTGAAAACTCCCCGAGTATAATCGACTTTACAGAGTGGGGGGAAATCACCGACCTAAGAGGAATGAAACTTCAATGATGAAAAGTTTTGACGTCATAAGCTACTAATTATGCTGATGGGTGATGTGAGAAAGTTTTACGAAAAAGGGGTCTAGAATATTTAGCTTTTATATATCTGCAAAATTATGATAAATTTGGCAAAATAATATTGTCGGCACCATGTTAAAATAACGAATGTGCAATGTTAAACGGGCTCACATTCGTTAATTCAACATGGTGCTGAGGATATAATTATGATTTTTTTAAATCAACTATTCCATGCCATTATAAACTTTTCTTATGATTCCTATTATCATTATTTTTTTTTTATTTATTTAGAAATATAATAATCTGTGACGTGGACAATAATTATAGTAAGGTATGAACACATTCACACCATATATACAGAAAACATAAAATCCTGTTATTTAACAGTATTTTATAAAATCCTGTTATTTAACAGTATTTTATATTAGTCCTATTTTTTCTTTCTTCCTGCCTTACCTTACAGACAATACGGGTTGAGACAGTAGTGGAGTACTAGGCTGGTTATATGCGTATGCCACTGCTCTGGCAGTAAAACTCTATTTTATTAAAACTATTTATATTCATATGTGCTTGTTTAAGGTGAAAATTTTTGAATATTTTAAAATAAGGCCCTGTTTATTTTTTCACCATATTTATTTTAATTTTCATAGCTACGTTTCGAACGGTAAGCCATTTTATTCAATCATGCTTTTTGCATGTAGTCCAAAGTCTAGACTTTAGACTTTGGACTACATGCAAAAAGCATCGTTGAATAAAATGGCTTGAGGATGGCTTACAGGGCGAAACGTAGCTATGAAAATTATAATAAATATGGTGAAAAAATAAACAGAACCTTATTTTATAATATTTATATGCTTTTGGAAACAATAAAGGGGTATGACTGTGGTGTGAACTTCTGAACTGGCTGCGCACAAGCCCATACCTTTACTTTTCTTTGTTTTTCCACCTGAGGCCTCTCCTCTAAACATCTGCAGCTTGTTTAAGGCTTTTTTTTTCTTACCAGAGTAAAATTGAGTTGATCTTACAGCATTCTTCCACCCTTAAGCAAATTCTCAATAATTCAAGTAATTCTCCCTGATCATTAGCTGGGGAAACGTGCTGTCTGTCAATGTATATATCCCCGTCTCTTTAGGGAGTTTAGCCCTCACTACCTCATTGGTAATGAATTCGAGAACCATGTGTTGGGCAGTCTCCATAACGCTGCATTTGGGGCGTAGGGGGTAAATATTCTTCCCTTGTCCAACCAGCTTCACTCGAAGGCTCTCATGTCCAGCGAGGAGTTGAGACACCCAGTAATCCGAGAGGACCTATCTTGCATTTGACAGTGACCTGAGCATGGAAAAAAGTTCCTAAGGGTAGCCCCCTTCGGAGTTGTCATTCATCGCCGATTCCATTCACCAACTGTTTTCTCTCTGATAATTCTCTTCCGACTTCATGGGTCTTCATGAATTTTCATCTTTAAATGTTCCGGTAGATTCGCTGATCCTTTTCTCTTCATATTAAATATGTAAAAGTCTTCTCGCAGGAGATCGAGAGGTATCCCTCTGCCAGTACTTGCACTGCCTCATGGGTCACCATCCTATAGAACCTGATGACTCGAAGTAAATTCAATCTCTGGATCGATACTAAGCAACTCTTCTGTCAGAGAGAGAGGTTTAATATTAGTCTATTGTCATATAGAGTGCTCAAAAGATTACAAATTATCCCTGGTTCACAAAAGTATTTTAAGATTATAAAGGTAAGTTTAAACTAGAAAGTTACTAGTAACGTCTTTTAAGCAAAGTAACATGTTGCCGGTTTTTTCACTAGTCGTTATGAAATATTATTAACATTTTATTTCGTGTAAATGAAAACTAACGTTTCTAGCGAATGTCATTATAATAAATTACTGACGTTTTTCAGAGCGAATCTATAAGAAATTTTAATTCCAATATTGTTTAATTCTGATAATAGCAAAATAATCTTCGCTGTCAACCCCCTTCATACGCTAAGGGAAGTTTATATCTTTCTGGAATCTTAAGATCATTAAGACTAAATAAACATTTAATATATTTACCGTGATGCATGTAGATGCTTCAAGATATTTTTAGATTATAAAGCGTTAGATAGTGATAAAACTGATTATACACAATGAAGTTGTATGGGTTATAAGACTAACGACTCAAATGGCTTAACTTTCGTTTTAATCAATCAAACTGGCAAATAGGAAAGTTAAAATATATGACCCTGTTTTTCAGCCGAAATCCGAAAAGAAAATGGTTGTTCCTGACCATGCATATAAATTGAGTCCTAAACTACCTCCCAACCATAGTACAGTACTCTGAACATTTTCCACAAACATAGAAGGCAATATGTTTCTCGATATTGAATATTTTCAACACGTTCTTTGGTACTATCTTCATCTATCCTATGATTCTGACTTTTGAAGAGAAGAATAGTTGGGTTGCTCAGTCAAAAAGGAAGGCAAAAAAATAAATTATAATATTTATTTTTTACATATGCCGACGTTTCGACCTGAAGTTCAGGCCTTCATCAGGGCTTTCTCCTTAAGTGTCAAGGGGAGAATCTGACTTTTCTTTTCTATATCTATTTATTGTTTATTTATTCTGAAACAGGTCCCTAAAGAATAATATGTAATACGACTTGATCTTTAAAGCATTGCAACAAGAAAAATATTTAAAAAATAAAAAAGTTTTGAAAGGCACAAATTTATAAATCGCGGAATTTTGATAGGAGGCACTGGATAGATCGGATAGATATGAAGTGGTTTAATATCAAGGTGTGGTGGATATCTGGTCAGCAGATGAATAGGGAATGGAAATTGCCATGAGGATCGGATTAAGTAAGACTTATCGAAAGCTGTGCGGTGGTATGTTCATAAATCTGAAGGTCGAGGACGATTTGTGCATGAATGGGCACAATATTCGAATTAAATGAGCTCGGAAATGTATGATGTATAGCTGGAATGGATACATATATAATTGGCAAAGAAAGCTTACTAGAAAGTGAAGAATAAAGCCATTTCAATTCTTTACGAAAACGGGAAACATCGACGTCTCTCAGGATCTCTAATGTGAATCAATTGGTAGACCGTTTTAATTTTGTTTCCATAATCCGTGCCAATCCAATATAAGCAAACTCGTAAGTAGGGGACTAGGAGTATGAAATGTGATTTCCATGGGAGACACGTTTTTTTTTTTTCAGAAAAGAGTTGATCAAAGGTGAGCAGAACAAAGAACATGAAATTTTATTTAAAGGATACCTTACATTTGAGATCAGGGGGGGAAAATTATGGCATTTTTAGACTTATGTATCATTTCCCTTAGGGCAGAATCCAGGTCAGTTCGAATTACTGTGTTAAGAAAAGAAAAGAAAGAAAAGTTGTCAAATTGAAAGAATAACATGGATAAGAAATTATGGAGGAAGAGGTTCCTGGGCTGGGTGGCTGAATGGGCTAACGTGTGTGCACAGCACCATGGTTGCCTGGCAACCTAATAAATAAGACAATGGATTTAAAATAGTCAAGAGTTCGCATCCCGGTGCAGGGGGTCTTTTAAATTCCTGTCCACACCCCCTGACCCAGGAAAACTCCATATAGCCTTAAAGGCGAGGACTAAAAAGAAAAAAAAAATTAGGAAGCGGTTGTTATTGGACTCTGAAAGTTTTTTTACATTAAAATCATCAGAAATAATAACTGTGTTAGATTCTTACATTTGACACAAGCATTCTTGGCTAATCCTCTTCTCGGTAAACACAGACCCATATGTATGTTTTAAGCTATTCACAAGTAATCATTTTTTGTTTGATAAGTCAATTCTTTTATTCTATAACTGCTATTACTGCCATTCTACAACTGATCGCTCACCCAATTAAGTGCAACCAAGGTTTTAAAATCAAACATCTAATTGGAACTGCAATTTTTGAGCTGGCTACAGTTCCTTTTTAAGAAAACAAGCTATCCATATGTTCGGATAATATCATCGCATCATGATTGGCATAAGCTGTTCTCACTCATGTTAATGTGGGATGCAACATAAGCATATGATGTGAGATCCAGGAATCAGTAAATCTGATTTTAATTGCTAAAGTTCTGGTCTTAATACATTCATTAAAGATATAATAAAAAAAAAAAAAAAAAAAAAAAACAGAATGTTCTGGCATATCTAGGAAAATTCAGTTGACTTAAAAATTATTTATACTTCTGTTTCCCTAAAAAAAAAATAAAACCTGGCAGACTGGTGCAGATAAATTAATAGTTATAGTTAAACTGAATATACAATATAATATCCTTAATCAGGCAAAATATAAAATCAGTAATATAAAAGCAAAGGATGGAGGAAGGATTTTTTTTAAACTGATATCAATAACGGTAATTAAAATACTGATAGGTCTATTTATTATAATTAGGTGAAAATAATGAACGAAAAAATTTGTGATGAAAACAGAAATGAATTTCATAACATTTATTTATATGTGTAAATAAAAGAAAAGGATCTCCCAATTGCTCCTTTACCTAATAAAAAAAAATAATCATGATGCTGTTAAGAAAACATTGAATTATGTAAATTGTCAATTTCTTCTTCCCTTGCTTTTTCTCTTTTTTTCTGTTGTTTATATTCCTCATGAGTTTCGTCATCAGTGGGTAGTTCATGTCTGCACAATGGGCATGTGCTAGTCTAAAAGAAGATAACAAAATAAATATGAATAGTTGAATTATGTAGATTTAAAATATTTGCCAAGTTTACCTTTTCTAACCAAGGAAGTATGCATGGAGAATGGAATTCATGTTTACATGGAAGTAATTTAGCCTTTTCTCCTGTATCAAACTGTTTTAAGCAAACTGGACATTGGGCATCTAAATAATAAATAATGAATTTAAAAACACACATACAACAAATGAGATTTTGTAATTTAAAAACTATGATACCTCTTCGATCTATAACAGAATCTGGAAGAGTTTCAATGATTTTTCTGGATGTGGGAGGCGGAAGTTTTAAATGTTCCCCCAACTCTTCAAACAAGCCAAAATCCCTAAAGAGACGTGCCATATGAAGCAACTGGTTTGGGGTCTCCCCTTCGCCAAGTGGCTTCCAACCCATTTCATCAAAGTAATCTGCCATCTGCACCAATATATTATTTTACTTTAAAAACATACTCTTAACTTTACACCTAGCATTTAATTTTTATTAAATTTTTTTTTTTTATTCAATGAAAAACATGTGTTAATATCAAAGTAGAAAAGTAGTAAATAATTATTTATCTTTTAGATGTAATTTAAGGATATTTTTAAAATTTATATTAGAGAATAATTAATTGGAGAAAAAAAAGAAGATATGCTAAATTTTATTTTACCTTCATATTTAAAATTATTTGAGCTAGGAAATTGATAAAACTTGAACATTCAAGTAAAGTTTACTACTTCCTAAATATATTAAACACATCTTCCTCAAGAAACTTCAACAGTATATGACATATATATATAAAAACTAAAACACAACTAGTAAAGTAAGCAACACAAAATAAAATAAATTATTTTAACAATGACAACACTTCAAATACATGTAAAAATTAAAAATATAAATGATTTAATAAAAATGATTGATTATTTATGTAATATAGTAAATAAAATCATTTACTATTTTAAATTTATTAAATATTAAAGGTCTCCTAAATTAGAGTTCAATAATCTAATTAAAACAAATAAAACAGCCATAGTATAGTATCAGAAAGAAAATAATTAAAATAATCTATTAATAATTATCCACTAACTTTTACATTAACACTGAAGAAAAAAATTATAAAAATTAATAATAATTACAATAGTTATTACAGAACACGGTTCCATAACACAGCATTAGTATTCCCGATGAATTGATCAGTTGTCTTTACTTACATTAAATTATGAAAATATTAACATAATATTTTTCTAAGAAAAAGTTTTTAGTCACCGACTATTCAGATTTGCTTTATGCCTCTAGTACAATTTTGTCTACTTTTTATCTGCTGTTATATCCAGACATGATTGGGTATGCAATCATTCATTTTTCAGGGCAAACCAAATAACTGGAACATCATCACTGCCATCACAGGCACCTATGTACCTCCTTAAAACTTTTCCTAATATTCAAACTCTGTTCCTACACGATAATCCAATCAAAAACCTTGGAATGATCTTTGATCAAACGCTTTCATGGAAAAATCATATATCCAACATCTCCCACCATACCATTTCCACCTTAAAACGTCTAAATTATTCCAGTCACCTATTTCCCCTTGAAATCTGCAGGCTCCTAGTACCTTAATTTTTCTCCACTTTGATTATTGCTATAGATAGATAGATAGATAGATAGAAAAATAATTTTATTCTGGGACACAGTCCCTTGAGAATAACAAAATTAAAAGAGCACATCTGGCCAAAATAAAATCAATCGAAAAAAAGAAATAATGTAAAAAAAATATAAGGTTAACATTCTATATACAAAACAATTAATACTATGACAAGACTCTTAAAGCTATACAGTATATGGGGGGGGGGGGCATTCAAAACAAAATTTCTTATTTTATACAAATTTGCAAATGACTGTTTTAACAGAGAATAGGATGGTGCCCAATAAGCGTCAATGAGACTGTAGTGCATTAATGATGCATTTAAAAAAAAAGGGAGTTTGTCTGGTATATCTGACGTATGGAATAAATTAGGTAGGATCGAATCTACTCTCTTCTAAGAATACACTAATAATTAGAAATAGATAGTTCTGCCAACCATATATTTCATGGGATGTCGAAGGATTTCTTTTTGTTTTTTAAAATTTAATATAAAAATTGTGAAAAATTGAAAGCGGAGATCCCATTTAAAAATGAAATAAGTAATACATGAGAAAACCAAAGTTAAATAGAATATCTAGGATCAAAAAGCTCCAATTTGGGAAGAAGGATTAAGCAAGATACAAGCTCTACAACACTAACAAGACATCGATTATTGTGTAAAGAGGATGACATACACAAACACTTATCATTCAAATTCTTTTATACAAAAACAAACAGAAAAATTGTAGAAGAGTCATACTTAGAAGCAGAATTGGCCTTAAGGTGGGGAAATTTCCCCGGGGCACCAGATGATCTTCAGGGTCGCTTGCCACTTGCCACAGAAATAAAAAAAAATACTAAGCATTTAAAATAATTAATTTTAGCCTATGTTGAACAAAATAAAATTCAAATATTACATAATACAAAAACGCTCAAGAAATAAATTTAATTTTTTTAGAGATGAGGAGATGATGTCATTAATCCAGGGCGCTGAATGTCTAAGGCTTGCACTACATAGAAGACATGTAGAGATTCCATCCATATGGGAAGAAAACAGCAATGCACAATGAAACAAGCAAACCTCAGAAAATATTTTGCCTGTACATGTTTAGTTTTTGTCAGTCTTATTATAACTAATTATATAATAAGCGCATCCCATTTTGAATTTCTTTCTTCATTAATGACAATAAGATTACTATTATGATCACTTTCAACTAAACCAATAGACCTCAACATTACAAGCCACAAAGTTTCAAAACTTGTTCAATTTTTTCTGTCAGAGAAAAATGTAGTTTTATTAGAGAAAACATATTCAATTATTACTCTGCTGATAAATCAACTTCAATGATACACAAGTTAAAAACAAAAATGAACTAATTAATAACTTCAATCATTAATTCAAATTCCAGGGATGAAATGTAATTTTTAAAAGTATTTGAAAATAATTGTGAGCTCAATAAAAAATAGAAAAGATGAAACCACAGGAAGTAGTTAATGTTTAGATAAAAATCATTTTTTAAAACAACTTTCTAAGCACTATTCAAATAAATTATTATTATTATACTTACAATGTAATGTGAAAAATTATTAAATCGATTACACCAGGTAATTTATATTAGTACATTTAGAACACAAAAATACTTAGCAATCAAATCAATTTCAACCACTAAACAAAGTGAAGCATCATTCTGATTGTATAATTATTTCCATAACCTGTCTCTAGGATAGCAGTCAATAAATTGTAAATATTCTTTAAGGTATCAATTAAATAAGGCAATTCTTAATTTAAATTAAAAACAAATCATATAAATTAACAAAAATTGATTTTGAAATAAGCAATCAAACATTTACTGATAATATAAAATAATAGATAGAGAAAGAAACAGAGAAATTCTTAATATTTTTTTTATTTATGTAAAATACAGGAACAGAAAAATAATAACAATTATATTTACCTATAAAAATATATATATTTACAAAAGAAATGTACAATATTAAACATTAAAATTTCCCACATCTTCTTCTGGCAGTGTATTTAGATTCTTCTCTTGTTGCAAGACCTTGCCTTCGCCTCCTTTCTTTCTTTTCTAAAATCCAATCTTTACTTTTTTTCAGAGGTTTTCCATGAAATTTTTTGAATTTTGCTCGATCTTTTGAAAAAGCAATAGTGGTATTATCACTTTCGGTTCCTAATGCCTTAGGCAAAGCTGCACTTGACGAAACCATCAAAACCAAGAAGTATTTCTTGGCTTTGGTTGAATTAGGATAATCAACAACAAGCCCTCCGAAAAATCCCGCTTTTGTTGCTTGTGTTGTTACTAACTCTATCTGATCAGGATTTTCAGGATAAAACTGAAAAATTGCTCTAGCCGTTCGACTTAATGATGTATACAACATTGAAAAAAACTTATAAAGTCTTTTTGCAGGTTTATGTGTAGCTTGATCAGCATTACACAACCATTGCAAAGCACTGATGCTAACAGCTCCGTCAAACATACCTGCTCGAAAGGGAATACCTTGGCCCAAATCACTGAGTACCAGATCACCTTCGACTTCTCTTTCTAATGCAACTTCTAACATTGCTCTAGAAATATCAAGTCCAACCCACATGTGGCCATTGTCTTCTAGAACACTTCCACTCAAACCAGATCCACAACCTAAATCCAAAAGCAATGCCGGTTCATCCTCTGGTAAACTCAATAGTTCTAAGGCCCTTTCTGTCATCTGAACTTGAATTTCTATCATCCGGGAGTTTTGTGTATACTTTTTGGCCTCAGTTTCATTATAATAAATATCCGGAGGAGCTTGGTGTTCAGGTCTTCTTCCAGAGGACATTTTTAATTAGCTGGAAATATAATTAAAATAAACAGAGTTTTCTTTTATCTCATAACTCACAACTGTAAATATATAACATATAATAACCTTAACCACGTTTACCTCGTGGTCTAACAAAGAGGTACATTTAACAGTTGGTCAATGAGAGGTATAATCATACTGAAGTTAAACTATTAGACTTGAATTAGTTTTGTTTTAAATAATGTTTGTTAAAAAATAAATTAGTAATTATAAATCAAGTACTCTTTCTATTTTTTTGTAGTAAATTATGATAAGCTTTCTATGAATTATAATGGTCATGTAACGCTCAAATAATTGATTATTATCATAATTATGTTAGTAATCTTCCACTTCGGGCTATAAGTTGTTTTATTATATAATCACCAATTATTAATAGTTTAAACAATCTCATTTATGTGTATTTATTAATTATTGTAACACTGTAATAATCATACTTGAAATTATCTAAAATAAAAATGTAGTTCTTTGAAAAATTGAAGGCGTTCATTGGAGCAAAAAAATTTATTTTTCGAGTGCTATAATAATTCGTATTCTAATATGTTTTGTGAAGTCCAAAAAATTGATAACAACTTTGTCCTAAAAAACTTTCTCCCTAAAAAGGTATTCACTAATACATTGCTACCTCCGTAGTACAACTGGTTTTACAATTGTACTCATACTATAGCTATAGTAGCGTTGTTCCAAAATTGAAATGGACTACAGTGGGTGTAGTTCATTTTCAACTTTGGATCAACAATAGCAAGACGAAAGCCAACCATCACCTTAAGCCATCGAAAATTAAAGAAACAAGCAACCCTAAATTCTATGCTGTATTTATATTGAAACATTTCAGTGCCTTGCTATGTAGTCATGCGGTACATCCGATTATTGCAAAAACCGCTATAGCCTAATATGGAGGGAATGGTGGCGCATAAATAATGATACGCCAGATATTTAGCCAGTTTGGAAAATATTATATTTGGCAGATAGCTATACTATGAAAACAATAGTAAAACCAATCGTCAAGCCCCGAGAGCCTTTAGTAGTATGCGCCTATGATTGCACTTGAGTAATATTTTTAACCTATTTTCAACATGTCGGCTTATATGTAGGATAATTTATTAATACCTTTTCTAAATAATACTATAGGGAGCGGGGTAGTGCAGTGGTAGGGCACTAAATTTCCAATGCTCAAAGTCCCAGATTCGAATCCCGGCTCATGGCAGAAAAAATATTTATTCTGTTTCATTGGCCGTGGGGCGACCCTGGTATAGGAAGACCCTCCTGGGGTACACCCAGCCTCTGCATAGTGGGTACCCTTAATTAAAATAATTGATTAATGGGGAAGACCTGGCGGTTGAGCATGGTCCTGGCCCGATCTCCTCCCTGCACAAACGTTGGCCTTGAAACAGTACTTTCTCTAAATAATACTGAACCCAAGACTCTTCATGGGTTGTAGTGGTACAGGTGTGAAATAATACTATATACTGGACTGTATCTATTAATTTGACTGTAAAATGACTGAGCCAAATTTGACTTTAATTAAATACAAGACTTAAATAATAAATAAATTCCTGAATCGTAATATGCATCTTTGCTGTTATACTTTTCGTACTTATATATATTCATTTTGTGAAAATATTTCTGATGATATCGCTCTTTTACTAATGAAAGAAATTTGGGTCAATGATCTTTTGATGATATAGGTTCACTAGGAAAACGGAAAGAATATTTGATAAACTACAAAATAAAAATAAAACCAGGATGAGATTTATATACTAATTTGGTTTTAATTGAGACATTTTGTTAATCGATGTTTAATGAGAACATAAAAAGGATTTCACCGTAACATCTTCAGTCAGCTTGAAGAATAGAACACAGCGAGATGTCTCCATTATTGATGGTTAGTATTTTTACAAACCGTTTTTATTTCTATCTAGCGGTTATTGTTTCAGAAAAAATATTGGTGTGTGATAGTTTCAGGTGACAACGTACTTATGCTTACTTGTAGTATGCATTAAAGCATTTCCGGAGACGGAAGAGAAGAGAATTTTCCTAAAAGATAAACCTCAAGGGGTGATTCTTCAGTGAGTAACAATATGAGTTATATGCTTCCAAAATAATCAATATTCATTTATTTAAAAAAAAAGTATTGTCTAGCATTAAAGTCTGCCATGTCAATAATTAATTGACGAAAATGCATACATACATGCTGTATGTATTATAACCTAAAATAAATAAATAATTAATAATAAAGTTTATCACGGACTTACACTATCTGAAAGGAAATACTATCTAGATCGACCATCATTTGGTAGGTGATAAAACAGAACTTTTATTTGTTAATAATGAATTCCATAAATCAAAACAAAAAAAAATTTTGCTTGTATAAATGAATCTCTTTTGATAAATTATTGGTTTGATTGTTGATTCCACCCCTCCTCTTACTTTAGTGATTAATAGTTACTTTTTTTTATTATTAATTTAAAAATATTTGAAACAAGCTTAAAAATGTAGTAAGTACCGACTATATTTTAAACAATTTGGATAATTTATTCCTGTTCCGTTGTCTAGCAATGATTAATATTATGAATTAGTCTAATATTAATAGACAAGAATCTAAAGCAGATTAACGTTTATTTCTCTAACAAGGGGGCGTCACAGTTAGAAGATTTCACAATTTTTTTTTTTTTTCCATCATCGAAAAATATTTCATCTATATCCTTTAACTCCTTTAATTCTATCTTAGGATCTAAAAAAAAAAAATATCAAACTTTTAAAACTGATTTTCTCCATAATTTTTTATTCTTATAATTTTGCATCAATAATAAATGTACACGGATGTTTATATGATTTTTTTCCATAGTAAACATATATCGAAATATTGAGGCTCGCTATTTTTAATCTTTTAAAAAGAGAATTCAAGTAAATATTTATGAAAATAGTATCGATAGTTATCGAATATATCTATATTTCTGACCTATGTTTTAAAATTAAAAAAAAACCTCAACAAATAATTGGCCGCTGGGATTAGTAATTTATCTTTTTTTTTTTATTATCATCTATGATATTTACAACTGTATCAGAAATACATTAAAGATACATTAAAAATACATTCAGTAAATGTGAACACAAGAATATAATAACATGAAACCATTTGTTGAGAAATTACTCACTGGTAGCACTCTAAAAATGTATTTACAACAGGAGATCACGAGGCCATCTTCTTTTCAGACGCTTCGGAGGGTTATCAGGGATCGAGGAGGAGGCAAGATTAGAAACGAGAGGGTTTGGATGGTTCTGAAGTTTGTTATGGAAGGATAGGTATCTGGATTGGGACAGGTCAGAAACATAAGGAATAATAACATCTTTATGGATGATTTTATTTGTGACAAAGTAAGAAGCATTGAGGATTTTACGAAGGATTTTCGATTTTAAGGATTGGATACGAGAGGAATTCGATGGCTTAATGGATCCCCAAAGCTCAACTCCGTAAGTCCAAATAGGTCTTATTGTAGTCATGTATATGAGTCTTCTGTAAATAATTGGAAGCTTACAGCGTTTGTCTAGTGCTGGAGTACTCGGAAACGTCGAGTGGTTTCTTGTCGTTTCGGTCTGGTCAGGGGATTCCAAGTTAGACGTTTGTCCAAGGTTTCGGATTTGTTCAACGGGGATTAGGGAGGTATTAAATGATACTGTAAGACAGGAAGTCATAAGTTTACGGCGAAGGGTAAAGGTAATTTGATGGCATTTATTTTAATCCTCCAGTTTTGACACCATTCTTCAAGGTTTGTGATGTGTGATTGAAGAGTTTGGGATGCAATGTTTGGGTCATTATTAACGGATAGGAGACATGTATCATCGACATACGTGGTAATGTCAGGATGGGTTGGGATATCAGCTGTATAAACTATGTAAAGGATAGGACCTAGGATCCTACCTTGTGGAACACCAGCGTGCTGGGAAAAGGGGAATGAATAAGCATTATTGTTATTTACTTTGGAGTATCTATCAGTTGGATAGGAACGGATAATGAGGAAGTATGTAAGATGTAGGAATAAGACAGTCTAGGATGCCAGACTCGACCAAAAGCCTGTTCTACGTCGAGAAAGACTCCCGTGCAGTACATTCCGCGCACCAATGCAGAGGAGACAACTCCATCACACGATGGAATCGCTGGATAGTGGAATGGGATCTGCGGAATCTAAATTGATGATCTGGAATAATTTGATTGGAATCTAGGATGGAGTACAGGCATTTATGGATGAGGTTGTCTAGGATTTTTCCCAGGAAGCGTAAAAGGGAGATAGAACGATAAGAGGATGGGTACTTTGGTGTAATTTTTCTTTAAAAGCACAATCAAGAAATATTGTGAGATTTATGTGATGCGATATATTACATAATCTTCATAAGTATCTAGTCAGGTCAACCAGTGACGAAATAAGTCCTACTATTATGTTACTTTCCCTCTATATCAATACAATTAATATCGTAGTTAACATAGAGTAGTTAACCCTTCCATCTGGTCTAGTATATTCTTCTTATGTTGTCTAGTGTATTTTCCTTATATCAAATGTAATTTTAAAAAATCAAAGTATTAGTATTCATTTGGACACCGTTGTCTGAAAAGGGTTAAACATTTACAATATAATTTAATCTTTTATTTTAATATTTTGGCCGTGATGATTGTAAACTATAATGATATTAGTTATACAATACTTTTGAATGTACTTTTATTTAGTTTTTAAAATAAAAATTGAGTTCTAATAAAAATTAACTTCTTAGGGATGGATACCAGGTCGTCTATCCAGCAGCACCAGCAGATTTGAGCGTGGTGTTCTCCCAAGCCTTTCAACAAATCGTAGGAGGCGTTAGTACTTCTCTTCATGGTAAAGTTTATTTTGGTAATTTTCATACCATTTACTCTGTCTTGATAATTAATTGTTAAGTTAAAAATGTTTTTCTAGCTGCTGTGGAGTATCTGACTCGAGTCGTCGTGGGAACAGTTAGTTGATCTTAGTTGTGGTCATTAAAGATCACAAACGCCATCCAATTATACCAACAAAATATTTCCAATGTTTCCAATATTTCAAATATTTCCAATATTCCAATTTATTTGTTATTAGTACATCAGAACATTCCAAAGATTAAATATGTTACATACATTATATATAATATGTATATATATATATATATATATATATAAAGTGTAAATTAATAAAAATAAATTCATTGATTTTCCTTAAAACATCAAAACTCTGTTTAGAAAGTGAATTGCAATTTTTTGAAAGAACTGATTATTCAATATTATTTTTGTGAATATTTTGAGTTTACAGATGTCACATTATAATGAATAAATATTTAATTTTAGTAGTTTTAATGAATTTATCACTTAAATACCTTTTCATATATATAGTTAGTTTCTTTATTTTTCTTCAGAAATAATTACCATTATATATATATATAAAACTTTCGGGCTGAAGCCTCCCAAAATTAAATATCCGTTACTGATTTTCAAGAATGAGTTAAATAAAAACTGTATTGAATTGTGTTCCAAAATCCATTTGAAATAATTCGACTTGCTTCTTTTTATATTTGAATCACTTTCATATTGCGAATTTAAAAAAATATATATATCTCATGATAGATTATTGGTATTTATGACTAAATAAAAAGTACATACAATGTTTTTACTTTCTTTTCTTTTGCATTGTGACTAAAACTATTGCGAAAATTTACATAAAACTTAGAATGAATCTCAGAATTATTTATATCTGAGAATGAAGTGTTTGAATATGAACCTAAAGTCAGATATTTTTTAAAATTAGTATAGTATAGTAGTTTTTAAAAGAAAAAGAGATAAGTTTGGCAGCGGGACAAATGTCACACCTGCAGACAAAGACAGCATATTGTCAGGTTAAAACTGGTCCTCCAAATTATACCTTTTCTACGGTCAATAAACTGATAAGTTGTAAGTGTATGAAGACACAAAAATTTTCTGTAGATCCATGAATAAAGAAACCTTCATGCGTAAGTGATATTATCAATAACCTTTCAATATTTTACAAGAACCTTTTAAACTCCGATCATATTTTAAATGTCCAAAAACTATTGCGCCAAGACAATACAGAATCATCACAAGAAGTTATCTTTTACTTGTCTTTGCAGCTTTTAGCCTTAAATCATATGAAATAATGAAAATAAGATCAAAATGCATTGCAGTGACCGAAACTTTGTTATTCTACCCCAACCAATAAGAGGCTCAACGTGTATTCAATGGAATAATTTTACAATAATTGTTTGCAAGAAATAAAAAGAGTAGATAATTAATAAAATGTAAATGTTAACAGAAAATTGTATTCATTCATGTAGCTTTGGTAAAGTCTAGACAGCTGTCCAGAGTTAGTCTCAGCTTAGGATAATTCAATTGTACTCTACAAATTTGTGTATTTAAAGAACATTCTTGACTTTTTATTATTAGTTAAAGCAGAATATAAATACTCAGTTTGTGTAAATTACAATACTAAACAACTTGCAACACAAGATCTAAACTTGAAAAAAAAAATCACAAGGAGCAAATCTTCGTTACTGAGGTCGTATTTTCTCCTTATTTTTGTCAGATGAAAAGTGATTTAATTATTCTGTTAATGTTTACGAGAGAATATTGAATAAAATTTTTTTTTTTTAGCTTATTCATTGCTTCAACATGCAATAAATTAAATAAATGGCAATATGAGGAAGTGGGAAAAAAGTTATGATCCCAAAAGGCACTTCTCTGACACCAAATTGATTCACATAAAATATTTCAATAATGTATCTCGATTTGAAGGGGCTGTATAGGTGCGCTAAGCATATAAAATCGAGAAAAAAATATAGTATTTATTGGTTAAGCTACCAATACACATTTAAACAATTTAAACGTACAGTAAATGTTACAAAGGGTTGGACAGTAATTAATTTCATAGGTATTTAATTATATATTCAATTAAAATTAAGATAATCGTGTTCATTATTTACAATTATTTCATTAAGTAATTGTAATTGTATTTGATCCTTCTTGATACCATGTAATTACAACTACTCGTTAATCAAGTTGCATCTCTTTAATTATTTAAATTAATCCTTAAACTTTTTAATTTTTTTTTAATTATTTCTATCGGTTATATATTTAATAATTACCTATTTATAAAGCTATTTAGCCGTATTGTAATAGCATTTCCCAATTAAAATTTCTAAAACTATTTAATTATAAAAAAATAAATAAAAATTTAGTTGGTATTGCCAACTTGGTAATAGCCACAGACGGATCTAGAGTGGGGACTTTCGGGCTGAAGCATTCCTCCTCCCCAATCCTCCAATCCTTACAATCCAAAATCCTTCGTAAAATACTCAATACTCCTTCCTTTGTCGCAAATAAAATCATCCATAACGACCTTAATGTTCCTTATGTTTCTGACCTGGCCCAATCCAGATACCTATCCTTCCATAGCAAACTTCAGAAACATCCAAACCCTCTCGTTTCTAACCTTGCTTCCCCTTCGATCCCTGACAACCAACCCTCCGAGGCGTCTAAAAAGAAGATGGCCTCGAGATCTTCTTTTATAAATACATTTTTAGAGTGCTACCAGTAGGCAGTTTCTCAACAAGTGGTTTTGTGTTATTATATTCTTTTGTTCACATTTACTGAATTTATTTTTATTTGTAATATAGTTGTAAATATCATCAATAAAAAATAAAAAAGTTATGAATGAAGTTTAGAATTATTTCACAATTATTTTTACTGTAGTATTATTTATATTGGTATGAAATACTGAACTTCTGGTGCATTTTAGACAAATAAATTGCAATTATATCTTCTTTAATTAGAGTATGATTATAATTTCCTTCGTAAATCCATGATTGTATGTATATGTTTTTTTTTTCTATAAAATTTTTTAGAAAAAATTGAAACCGTCATTTTAAAAAAAATATTTTAAATTTTTATGAAGTATGAAATAAAATATAATAAAGTATATCCATTATTTCCTTCATACAACTACAATTTTACGTAATGCATTTATATAGTTTTAAATAAGCAAAATAAAAATAAAAAATTAATATTTATTAATTTCAATTATATGTCATAATAGATATTATAAGTCCTAATGATGTGTTTTCCATTTATTTTTAATAATGGTAGGAATATTGTATCCTTTAAAAAAGTTATTTTACTATTTTAATTTTTATAGATAGTTTTCCAATAGTTTCTAAAAATGTATGCACTTTTCTATGTATTTTCGTGCCTTAAATTAAACTAATTTTATTTCTTGGCCCATTATTTTGAACAAAAATAATATAAAAAGCCTTTAAAATATGTGAATAGATGTAATAAGTAAAGCTCTGATCTAATTTAATTTACTAAAAAACAAAACAATAACATTGAGCCAACAACGAATTTTCAATGAGCATACGAGGATTTGCCACAGAGCGAGCGGCAGCACTGCACAAATATCAAATTTAGTGACCGCAAGCACACAATTTTCCGATTTCATGAAGGAAAAATTCTTCAAAGTTTGTAATTATTTAAGGTTATGAAATGTCACTTAATGACTTTTTTTTCTTCAATAAACCGTTGATATTTTAAAATTTAGTTCTTGGTTGAAGCTTACAAGTAGTTCTTTCCAATTATTGGCCTGCCATTGTAATATTTTCGAGACGGAAGGAAGGTCCATGGCCGACCCATCGGCACAGGGGACCCTGGAGCGGCTTTGGGCGGTAGTCTTGGCTACTCCAGATTTATTGCCTCAATCCTCTGCACTTCTTGAGACAGATATATAGCGGCTAGGGCAGGTAGTCTCGCTATTTTGTGAAGCACTTTGCAATAAACCCTCGGTTCAAAGAAAACGAGGAAAAGGTAATACACTAATATTCAAATTCCAGGTATACTTCACATTTGTATGAGTTTACAAAGCAATAAAAACTTCAAAAGGTCACCTTGCAAAAACTAAAAATATTCAGGAGAAGAAAATATTTTATTTTCAAGTTTTATAGCTTGTTTAAGATAAATATGGAAAGGTTTTAAATATATTTTTGCTTGCTCACTACCGAAGGTAGGAAAGCGTTGTATTCGTACGAGGGGTTAAAAAACATTTTGTGCTCTGAATTTGGAGGGAAGTTAGGGATTGGTTAACGAATTATCAAGTATGTATGAATTTTATTGAATTAATAATATTGAATCAATATTCTTGAACTTGATATACATATTGCACTTGTTACAATATATCCCTCAAACGGTCAATATATTTGATATTGACCGTGTAAGGGCCCTTACAAATCCCATCACTACTTACAAAAAATACGTAAGCTTTCAGATCTACAAATGTATTCTTTGACGCGGAGATAGTTTGAAAACGGCGCGTTCGATTTTACCCAAATTTGGAGGAAATTTGGAGAATAGTATAAAAATTACCTAGTATCAATGCCAGTGCATTCCATTTAATAATTCAAATTAATAAAAATTTGTATTAAAAAGTTAACAATATAATGACTGTGAAACGTGGAAGGCATTGATCAATATGATCATATGGAGAGGGAGTGCGGTTAATACAATATTTATATGGGATTATAAAATTTTAGGTTTTATTCAAAAAGTTAATTTATACTGTACTGTTTGCTTGATTCTAAACGTTACTGACATTACTTACTGCAGTTACTTAGATATAGTGTAATTTTCAGTAAATTTAAACAATTATTTTACTCCGAGTTCATAAAAATAATAAAGTTTTATTTGTGGTTGTGTTTTACTCTATTGAAATTCAACTAGTTTGTCGTTGTCTCGATTTCTTTCTTAAATATCACAGTTATGTGAACTTCACGCACATTTTTATATTCCACATTAATTAGTTTTGTTCTGACTGAAGAAACGTATTGGTCTCATTAACTCCAAACAAACAAAAAGTTAAATTTTTCCTGTGCAGTTTTTTTTCCATCCGTTTTACATATAAAAAAATACTTATTAAATAGATATCACTACTGTTAGTGCAAAAGGTTGTATACATACGCAGAACACTTTCGTATTTTAGTATTCACTGATG